CCAACTTACCGTTCTGGAGTTAGATTAGTATAGTCCGCGGCGGGAAGCGCCACGCACAGCTTCAATTTGCATGCGGAACAACCTGCTCCCAGCGGCCGAGGGAAGCAATTTCGACTACACTTTTTTCGATTTACACTTACTTCTAAAAATTTCCTTCTCTGTTTATCCAATTTCCCCACCCCACAAAACTCTATAACCACCGTTTTTGCAGGAGAAAATGCTGGGACTAGAGATATATGAGTGGGGCTACAAAAGCTACTTTTGCCGAATACACTTGTGAGAGGTGGTTAGATACTTTCGTTGTGGGTCGGAGGCAATTGAAATTCGCGAGCTGCTCTTTTGGTTTCGACAGTGGTTAACCTGTTTCTTGGATAGCTGTGTCAATCTTCACTTCTCCTCTGGATGAGGTAGTGGCATAGCGATTTCTAACATATGATGGAGTGGAACGAGTTAATGAGCATGTTTCCTAACCAGCTAGATTGGTGAGCACCCTTCTTCCATCATATTCCCGATCGTAACCGACAAAAGCTACGAGCCCGTGATGCAATAGTAGAGTGTTGCATTCGATAACCAAAGGTCCCGACTTCGAATTCCGAGTGTTTAACACCTAGGATTGGGTATGACTGGCTGATGACGGCTAATAAGCCAGAAAAGGCCATTACGGTCTTCCTTATCTTCGTCGGTTCCACTTAATAAACGTATACGATGAAAGGGGGCGGCTCGTAAAAAAACAGAGATTTACTCCTCAAGTTTAAAGCTGGTAGTACCATGCCGTCGAATAGTATGTCACATACCAGGTCTGTAGCCCAGATTCTGCCTTCTTGTAGAAAATAGAATGCTTTAAAGTGTTGCAGGTTTTGCAGGACAAATTCGCCGAGGTTCGCTTTTCGCGTATAGTCCCGCAGCGTAAATTTCTTCCGAAACCGTCGCTGGGAGAAGCAACGAGTTAATACTTTGCGCCGGGTTTAGAACTCTCCCCTGGCCACCTTTCCTACTTAACTCCCACTAGTTTCTTTCCATGCATCACGTGACCCATTAAAAGTTGTCGAGTCCCGAAACGTCCCTCTCGTAGCGCGTCCCATGGCCCACCGAGGGTGGCAAAAGTTTTGCATGCAGGACCGTCCGACACGC